GTGAGGGGAAGCCCCGGCTTAGCATGCGCTGAGGCCGGGCTAGAGTGAGCTGAGGCGGCGGGGTCGAGAACGGCGCGCCCAGCGGATCCGACGAATGAGCGGCAACCACATGTGACGACCCCGGGCTGAACTCCGCTTCGTCCACGGTGAAAGTTGATGTGTTTCTTCAGCGACCAGCACGGATCAGCTCCAGGGACGACGAAGCGGATATCGTCCTCTTTTGGAAGACCAAACAAAGTAGTTTCGCTTTCACAACGAATGAAAGTGTTAATCAATGAACTAGACATTATTATACATTTTTCACTTATTCAGTGTCTACATAATGGATCTGCCCTCACATTCAGTGGCATAATAAATCTCTCATATACACATTAAATGGTTTTCTTATGGACCTAACACACACTTAGCGACATCATAACGGACTTCTAACACAGTCAGTCACATAATAATGAATCTCCCTCATACATTCAGTGGATTTATAACCGGTACCTTCATGTCTCCATGTCGCCGGCAGTCGCTTTCTCGCTTTTTTCATCTCTTATCGCGACTCACAGTCACGAGGAGACAAAATACATGCTTTAACGATGATTATAATATCGTTTTAATTTAAAACTGACAGTAAAAACGAAAGGAAAGTGACATTTACGCTTCCCCTCAGATCGGCGTCGCGTGAGTGCTCGTCACCCAAACTTTAGTCAGAAGCAAAGACATTGGTTAATAGAATGGGATTAAATACATAAAGGATATTTGACATAAAGGATATTTTGAGGAATACTGAACCTGTGTTGTTGTTTTTTAGATTAATTAATGCATATTCATATTTATTTTAGAACTACAGTAACATCTTCTGATTTCTCTCAACATGGGGACAGCAGAGCTGTCAATCAATACATTGGGGGGAAAAAAGTAACTTGCGTTACTTATTTGAAAAAGTAACTTCAGATATTCTCTTGTAAATCAAAAAGTAATGCGTTACTTTACTAGTTACTTGAAAAAAGTAATCTGATTACGTACCTCGCGTTACTTGTAATGCATTACCCCAACACTGGTAATCTGTTATTTGTGAATTATGTCTATAATTGTATCACCAACGAAAGTTCTTTATATAAAAACTAATCATTGCATGAGTGCAAATGTATTTTATGACATACTTATGTTTTAATTCTGTTGGCAAATCATGTAGATGATTTTAATCAGTGGCTTTATGATTGAGGAAAGTGTGCCATGGTGCATCTGGGTGTCACCGCGCTCATTGCGCAACGTTTTACGCAGCGCGGACGGCTTGATGCGGCCGCGTCCTACTCGATTCAACGCGCTGATGATACCAAAGATCGACGAAACGGGAAGAACATGACAGAAACGATGCGTCTGTTTGCTTCATTGTAATCGCGAACATGGGCGACAGAAGCGAGAGGGGCTCGGCGAAGCACAAGCGGAGAACCACGATCGCCGGAGACGCGGCGGGAGCGCAAGCGAAGCGCGGCGGCGCAGCAGAGACGCTCAGCGGGCAGGTGAAGGAGAAAGAGCAGAGGCACGAAACACCAGCGAATAAACACAAGAATCACAGCGATGCTGGCGATGACGCCTTCGGGTAAATTATGTTATGGAAATATGTTTTTGACTTGATGTGTGCAGCATGTCTCTCTCGCTATCGAAAAAGATGCTGGTATACTGTAACATATACACATGTACAGGGCCTATGGCATTTTATTTGAGTATTATTTATATAATATTATGTTAACATTTCCAGTTTTCATAATTTTGTTATGTGCAATGTTATATTTTATTATAAATATTTCTATTTATGTTTACTTTTTTTCAGTTTTAGTCATTTTAAAACATAGTGTGAATTTCATTGCCAAGGCAACTCATTTGTACATTGTTCAGATTTTCTTTTATTTCAGCATTATTTCAGTTACAGAAAACTATTTTTTAATAGTCTGAGTCAACAATAGCAGCACTGTTTATTAGACATGTACCCTGGTCATTTCATAATGCTATACTACTATTCGTAATAATATTCTGTAACATATACTATGCACATATTACAGTATTTTTTATCTAATTTTGAATTAGCTTTGAATTTCATTTTAGTTTAAGATTTAGCCATTTTGTTATGGGAAAATGAATATATTTTATACATATTTCTATTTAGTGTTTTTATGTTTCAGCTTTAGTTTCAGTTATTTTAGTATTCAGTTAGAATTTATTTCAGTTCGTTTCCCAGGCAAAAAAATAATAATTTTTAAGTGTTTTTCAAGTTTTTTTTTTAGGTTTAAGTTTTTCATCTAATGTTCATATTTTATTTGAAATATATGTTCATATAATTCCATTATTTTGGATGTGATTAATCGATTTGACAGAAATTGATTATTTATTAATAAAACAGCGCTGCTTTACCCCACATACGCACGACCGGAAGGAGCGGAAGCGGTCGACTGTGGCATAATAAAAGCTCCGCTGCTTTACCCCACATACGCACGACCGGAAGGAGCGGAAGCGGTCGACTGTGGCATAATAAAAGCTCCGCTGCTTTACCCCACATACGCACGACCGGAAGGAGCGGAAGCGGTCGACTGTGGCATAATAAAAGCTCCGCTGCTTTACCCCACATACGCACGACCGGAAGCAGCGGAAGCCGTGTCACTAGTTAAAATTGCTTATTTCTCTGGATTTAAACATTCTTCGAAACATTTGGGAAAATGTAAGTACACAAGTCAGCAAAATATATCACACTGTTCTATTGGTTTTTGGATATTTTAATAAAAAAATCTTACATATTGTGCCTTTAATAAATCATTAACTCATCCATGAACATGATTTCTGCCCGAGTCTCGTCGGATTGCATCGGCTGTGGGGATGAAGACCACAACTCCCATGATTCCACACTCAACTATGCCTTTGTCTATTTGTTTATTTTGAATATGCACCCTCTAGCAGCGAAAATTGCATATTGTGCATTTAATCTTAATTGATTTCATTTAGTTGCCAAGTCAACATTTCACATTTTTTTTACTTTACGTTTTTCACTTAATGTTAATATTTTTTAATTTATGAATTAATTTTTTTATTTATTTTTAAGTTGAATAATTGTTGTACTTTAACTCAAGCTTATTTGATTTAATTTAGTTGCCAAGTCAACATTTCAAAATGTATAACTTTAAGATTTGTATTTAATATTAATATTAAATTTATAATATTTAATAATATTCAAGTAGCTATTAAAATAGTTTTAGTTAGCAATAGCAACACTGGTGTAGATTGTCCATAGAAGAAAAAAGCTTTTCCGGTAAAGGTGTCAAGATCGAGCCACTCCTGATAATGAGCTGTTGTCAACTGAAATCATTGATAATAATGATAAGATCATCATGACCCCAATCTTTAATAACCTTTATCAACCACGCCTCATACACTCACACACATTAAGAGCTTTCTTCCTGTGTATACTGAGTGAAACTGCTCAAACTCTATGGTATTTCGTCACCGATTTCAACATTTGCGTGTCCTCGATTGGTGTCATATAAACTTATAGAGTGTCTGGGATGCTACAATGTCTGAATGTCATTGCATCAGATAGCAACATATCAAGTATAAATGCACTCAAATGCTGCAGGATCTTTTCTCAGAACTGCTTTATTTGAAATAGATGACACTTGGTTGATATGTTATTCCTTGCAATGACATTGAGACATGCCATACTGTAAGTGTCCAATACTTTTTTGGTCTGAAGTCTGAGGCCTTCAATAGCTGTTAAATTAGACCAGATATGCATATGCAGTTGTTATTGGTAGAAAACCAGTCATCAACTACTGCGTGACTCATTTTGTCTGTCTCTTCAGCTGCCATAAGCTGCAGGAGTCGCTGCTCAGCTCCAGTAGCGGCTACAGCAACTACAGAGGAATCCTCAACTGGTGTGTGGTCATGCTGGTAAGATTTGAGGGCATATGGTAATTCATGTCTAATATTGCATGTCCATAAAATATCCATGTTTTCTCTAGAGGAGTTTGTTTCTTCATTTGGAGAAATGTAGTATTATATCACTCACCAATGGATGCTCTGCAGTGGATGGGTGCCGTCAGAATGAGAGACCAAACAGCTGATAAAAACATCACAATAATTCACAAGTAATCCACACCACTCCAGTTCATCAGTTAACGTCTTATAAAGTGAAAAGCTGCGTGTTTGTAAGAAACAAAACCACCATTAAGGCGTTAACTTTAAACTGTTGCTTCTGGCCGAAATCCATAATCCCTGAAAAAGCATCCTCCAGTGAAAAAGTCCATCTCCTGTTTTGTTTTGGACTGTTTTGGCTTGTAAACGGTGCTTGATCTGTGCAGATTTCTCTCCTGATTCAGACTAGATGACTTTTTTTCACCGGAGAAAGCAAGATTATGTGTAGAGGACTCGTATTTATGCCTGAAGAAACTGTTTAAAGTTAAAAACGTCTTAATGATGGATTTGTTTCTTACAAACATGCAGCTTTTCACTTCACAAGTCATTAACTCAGTGGTTCCCAACCCTGGTCCTGGAGGCACCCCAACACTGCACGTTTTGCATGTCTCCTTAATCAAACACACCTGATTCAGATCATCAGCTCATTAGTAGAGACTCCAAGACCTGAAACTGGTGTGTCAGAGAAAGGAGACATGCAAAATGTATAGTGTTGGGGTGCCTCCAGGACCAGGGTTGGGAACCACTGCATTAACTGATGGACTGGAGTGGTGTGGATTACTTGTGGATTATTGTGATGTTTTTATCAGCTGTTTGGATGCTCATTCTGACGGCACCCATTCACTGCAGAGGATCCATTGGTGAGCAAGTGATGCAATGCTACATTTCTCCAAATCTGATGAAGAAACAAACTCATCTTGATGGCCTGGAGGTGAATACATTTACAGCATTACAGCAAATTGGGTGAATTATTCCTATAACTATATTAACCCTGCTCTGAGGATATATGGAAATTTAAGTCATTGTTCCATTGTTCCTTGTCATAGGGGTTTGGAGAAACATGTAGAAGTAAGGTTTGTCTTTACACCGTGTATTAGTAATGTAAGATCACTGTGCCAGCGCTACGTTTAGGCCCTCGTTGTTACCTGAACATGAACACTGACACACCTTTGGCCTTGAACATTTGAATGGCTTCGGTCTGATGGCACTGGTTATTTTTGTTCTCTCTTCTGCTGGAATCTTGTCCTCAGATGATCTGGAACAACAGAAATTAAATCTAGAAGGAAACATCTAGTAATTGACTATGCATTTGCCGGAATGATCAAAAAGACTATGTTTGCCCTTCATCGCGGTCATACGCGTCAAGTTCATTCTGGGCTATTGTGAACTCAATAGGATTGAACGGAGTAAGAATTTGACCTTTATCCTCGGCTCCGGTCTTGTATAATCATATGACATGCAGCACAATGCCAGACGTATTAGTTTGCACAAGCTGTGACAGAATACAATTTCTGCAGTGAAAACAGAGAGAAGTGACTGAAGTTTAACTCAAGTTGTTGTGATAGCCTCGATTCACACGAGTTCCCACATTAAACCGTACCATGTCCATAAAATATCCATGTTTTCTCTAGAGGAGTTTGTTTCTTCATTTGGAGAAATGTAGTATTATATCACTCACCAATGGATGCTCTGCAGTGGATGGGTGCCGTCAGAATGAGAGACCAAACAGCTGATAAAAACATCACAATAATTCACAAGTAATCCACACCACTCCAGTTCATCAGTTAACGTCTTATAAAGTGAAAAGCTGCGTGTTTGTAAGAAACAAAACCACCATTAAGGCGTTAACTTTAAACTGTTGCTTCTGGCCGAAATCCATAATCCCTGAAAAAGCATCCTCCAGTGAAAAAGTCCATCTCCTGTTTTGTTTTGGACTGTTTTGGCTTGTAAACGGTGCTTGATCTGTGCAGATTTCTCTCCTGATTCAGACTAGATGACTTTTTTTCACCGGAGAAAGCAAGATTATGTGTAGAGGACTCGTATTTATGCCTGAAGAAACTGTTTAAAGTTAAAAACGTCTTAATGATGGATTTGTTTCTTACAAACATGCAGCTTTTCACTTCACAAGTCATTAACTCAGTGGTTCCCAACCCTGGTCCTGGAGGCACCCCAACACTGCACGTTTTGCATGTCTCCTTAATCAAACACACCTGATTCAGATCATCAGCTCATTAGTAGAGACTCCAAGACCTGAAACTGGTGTGTCAGAGAAAGGAGACATGCAAAATGTATAGTGTTGGGGTGCCTCCAGGACCAGGGTTGGGAACCACTGCATTAACTGATGGACTGGAGTGGTGTGGATTACTTGTGGATTATTGTGATGTTTTTATCAGCTGTTTGGATGCTCATTCTGACGGCACCCATTCACTGCAGAGGATCCATTGGTGAGCAAGTGATGCAATGCTACATTTCTCCAAATCTGATGAAGAAACAAACTCATCTTGATGGCCTGGAGGTGAATACATTTACAGCAAAGTTTCATTTTGGGTGAATTATTCCTATAACTATATTAACCCTGCTCTGAGGATATATGGAAATTTAAGTCATTGTTCCTTGGAAAAACATCATAGGGGTTTGGAGAAACATGTAGAAGTAAGGTTTGTCTTTACACCGTGTATTAGTAATGTAAGATCACTGTGCCAGCGCTACGTTTAGGCCCTCGTTGTTACCTGAACATGAACACTGACACACCTTTGGCCTTGAACATTTGAATGGCTTCGGTCTGATGGCACTGGTTATTTTTGTTCTCTCTTCTGCTGGAATCTTGTCCTCAGATGATCTGGAACAACAGAAATTAAATCTAGAAGGAAACATCTAGTAATTGACTATGCATTTGCCGGAATGATCAAAAAGACTATGTTTGCCCTTCATCGCGGTCATACGCGTCAAGTTCATTCTGGGCTATTGTGAACTCAATAGGATTGAACGGAGTAAGAATTTGACCTTTATCCTCGGCTCCGGTCTTGTATAATCATATGACATGCAGCACAATGCCAGACGTATTAGTTTGCACAAGCTGTGACAGAATACAATTTCTGCAGTGAAAACAGAGAGAAGTGACTGAAGTTTAACTCAAGTTGTTGTGATAGCCTCGATTCACACGAGTTCCCACATTAAACCGTACAATTCAACCCAGAGGGTGTTTATTCCTCCGATCTTTCTTTGTTTGTTTTTCCTCTCAAGGGAAGCAGCATGGAAAGAAAACAGATAGAATAGAGCAAGCTAGTGTTAGAGGCCTTTTTTGCTTTTGTTAATCAGAAGTCAGAATTATAATTGTAGAATAAATAAAAAGAAAACAAATAGATAGAATGCAAAAAGATTAGAGAAGCAAGTATTAGTTTTTTTTTTAAGAAAACAAGCAGTTAGGAAATAAATAGTGCAAGTCTAAAAGGGGCAAGTTTTTTTTTTTTACAAAGAATAGAATTAGAATAGAGAGTGCTAGAGTTAGAGTGTCAAATAAAGATGGAAGAGATGTGTTTTTAGCCGATTCTTGAAGATGGTTAAGGTCTCAGCTGCTTGGACTGAGTTGGGCAGCTCATTCCACCAGGAGGGAACATTTAATTTAAAAGTCAGAGAAAGTGATTTTGTGCCTCTTTGGGATGGCACAGTAAAGCACCGTTCACTTGCAGAACGCAAGCTTCTAGAGGGCACATAAGTCTGAAGTAATGAATTTAGGTAAAGGGGTGCAGAGCCAGTGGTGGTTTTGTAGGCAAACATTAATGCCTTGTATTTTATGCGAGCAGCTACTGGTAGCCAGTGCAAACTGATAAACAGAGGTGTGACATGCATTTTTTTCGGCTCGTTAAAAATTAATCTTGCTGCCGCGTTCTGGATTAATTGTAGAGGTTTGATAGAACTGGCTGGAAGACCTGCCAAGAGAGCATTGCAATAGTCCAGCCTGGACAGAACAAGAGCTTGAACAAGGAGTTGTGAAGCATGTTCCGAAAGAAAGGGCCTGATCTTCTTGATCAGTAAACTAGTAAAACTACACATTCTGATCAATTATATTTTACGCAGTGTATTAGTAGTTAGTTAGTATGCTACACTCTAATAAAAGTCTGTAAAGGGCACAATCTACGATGTTATTATGAAGGAATTTTCCATATTGATTTTTCCACAGTTTTTTTTTTATATTTTTTACCTGCATTTTTAATTACACATTGTATTTTTGTGTTTTCGGGTTACAGGGTTACAACAGATAATGGATAATGTGAATTCTGGAAAATTACTAGAACCTTTTCCATTTTTCTATAAATTTTTCTTACTACCTGATCAACAATTGCAAGTACAAGCTACTAACAAAATGTATCATAAATGAACAATTATTCATTACTAAATTATTTATTATTATTATTATTAACAAACTTAATTCACGTGATGTGTGTTATACTAGGCATCTTTGGTTTTCTCTTGTGTAATTTAGATGGTAAATGTCTGCCTTTTTATCGTTTGAGTCACTTATCAAAAGTTGCTAAAAGTTGCCAAATAAATTAAAAAAATAGCTAAATATAGCAACAAAATTGCTAAGTTGGCAACACTGACCAGGGAAACCTTGATCTCTACCACTCCAACCGCGCCTCCTGCTGCAGAGAATGAGTTTGCATATATATGCCGCCTGGGAAACACTGGACTATGGTATAAATAAATTCAACTGTATAACAGTTTCACTGCAATTCATTTATAATGTTAGAATTAAATAACAATAAAAAATAATACATATGCACTTATCTGTACATAGTAAATGCAGTTATTTTTAAGCGGTTGTTGACATCCTATCTAAAATGTGATTTAGCAAAAAAAAAAAAAACACCAACAATAACATTACCACTCTAATATGTCTTGCAATATCCGTGCATGCAAAGGTTCTGCGCGATCCTCGTTCAATATTCTCGGGGTCTGAATC